CATTATATAAACCAATATAGTTAATACATGCACATGTTATATTGTGTGTTAGTTAATATTATATTTCTCTATATTATATTAGTGATGCACGTTTTATTGATACACATTTTAGATGCATGTAATATATCAGTGATGTTAGTGATGCAGTAAATGAGTTATCATTAATATACGTGAAAAAGACATGTTAGTGATGCAGGTAATTTTTGGTTGATTAAATAACTCATTAATATAACTGAAAAAGACAAGCATTTAAATAGGATGTTTAATTAATATAACTGAAAAAGACAAGCATTTAAATAGGAAATTTAATTAAATTCTCAGTGGCATATGAGTGTAAATAAGTTGGAAAACTTAGGGGTATTTTTTAGTGGGTACTTCTCTTTTAATAATAGAGATTTGATATGTTATTACTTCCAAGACTATGCTTAGGTAGTGGACAAATGGTTGATATTCAAAATTCAAATCATTAAGGATAATAAATGAAACAATACTTAAAGAAGCTGTTTTTTGATGCAAAATACAAAATATTTTAGCTTGGGCTTATTGGGCTCATAATGATCGTTAAGCCCATTTATACTCTTCACGCTAAGATATTTTCCCGCCAAATTTAATTGGGAATAGAGCTTCTGTAAAAAGAAGTTGAGACCTTCGTTATCATCCTCCACCAAAGACGACGGAACCTTCCCTCACAGTACTACTCTCCAACCTCTTAAACAGAGTGAGCTCCTTCTTCTTCCTTATCCGGCAAATCTTTCGTTCTGTATACTTTCATGGATTTTATCTTCGAAATTTCTTCCGATTTTGAAAATTTCGTGGCTTGTTTTTGTGAAACTTTACTCCTCGAATCTTCTCTACATTGAATATTAAATATATTCCCAACGAATCAATTGCTTATAGTACAGATTTCGCATAGGATTTAGGGTTATTGCTAAATCTAGGGTTTTTAGGTGTTCTCCCTTTTTTTTACTCCATTGATGCTTATTCAGGTTTGTGAAGATTTTACATTTTCTACACTTGTGTTTAGGCGCTTGAAAAATACTTCTAACCTCTTATGATTTAAAGAGCTTTGAACATTATCATATTAGTATTAAAGTATATTTCTGCATCTTCCGCAGGAACACCTAGAAGAGGAAGTCATCTTCTTGAGTTGCTTCTTGGAATAAAATCTGTTTCAGAGACTTTGATGAAAGGGAACGGCACTGCTGCATTTTACTCTGCTTCTGCTGAGAATGTACACTTTCCTCGTTTGAGTTGTGCTGTGAGTGTTGGCGACAAGAGAAAGAGGAATGAGCATTGTGGTGGGTCTAATGATGACAGAGATGCAGAAGAGGTAAAACCAAAGGTTTCTGAAAGTGGTGGTGGTCTCAAGTTTAACGAGTTTGAGAAGCTGAGGAAAGAAGTGAACTTTTCTGTTGGGCAGACTTGGGCTCTTTATGATAGAGTTGGTGAGATGCCTAGGTTGTATGCCCGGATCCGGAAAGTTTCAGGTCCTTCTTTTGAGTTAAGGATCACACACTTGGAGCCAGATCCTGATGATGAGAGGGAGATACTATGGTTTGAACAAGACTTACCTATTTCTGCTGGTCAGTTCAGGCTTGGGAAAAATGAGAACATAAAAGACTGTTCGTTATTCTCACATGTTGTACATTGCAAGGAAGGAAGCAACACTGGTCATCTCACTGTCTCCCCAAGAAAAGGCGAGACTTGGGCCTTATTCAAGAACTGGGATATCAACTGGTCTTCAGAACCTGATTCTCACCGCAGATATGAGTATGACATCGTGGAGATTTTGTCTGATTACGCTGATGGAACTGGTGTATCTGTTGCGTTCTTGCATAAAGCAAAAGGCTTTGCAAGTGTCTTCTTCCGAATGGGAACTGATCCTGCAGACATGTTTCGAATGGGAACTGATCCTGCAGACATGTTTCGAATGGGAAGTGGTGATGCAGCAGACACATCTCAGATTCTGCCTCAGGATATATATCAGTTCTCCCACATGATCCCTTCCTTCAAACTGACAGGCTTTGAAGCAAAAGGCTTACCAAAAGATGCTTATGAGCTGGACCAAGCTGCATTACCTAAAACAATCGAAGAGAAGACTGTCCCTTCCCATCTAATCCCAAGGCCTAAACCAGAAGCTCTCTGCTTCCCGAGTAGTAAAGGAAAAGTTTTTCAAACTGGTCAGTTCTGGGCATTTAGTTCACATTACGATAACATGCCTCGGTCCTACTGTAGGATTCAGAAGATCACCTTAACTCAAGCATTCGAACAGGAACCAGAAATAAAGATGCACGTGTGTCGTTTAAAACCTACTCCATTCCCTGAGAATGTCATCAGGTGGCAGGACAAGAGCATGCCTGTTGGTTGTGGAACTTTCTCGCTGCCTAAAACTTGCTCAATATTCACTCCTGGACACGTCAGACATCAGATATTTCCTCAAACCTCCAAGGATGGAAATGAATTCACCATTCTGCCCAAGATTGGCCAGGTGTGGCTGATTTACAAAGATTGGGCTCCTTACTATGACGTTGAAGCATTGGAAGGAAAGTGCTTGGACTATGAAGTCGTTGAAGTTCTTGATGACGCCTTGAACTATAAGGTTTTAGCGTTAGCGCCTGTCGAGTTTCCTGATGAAGAGAGAAATAGATTCTTCAGAGCAGCTAAGAGTAGGTCCTCTTATCGGTATGAAGAGGATGGGACAGGAGTGGTATTTACAATCCCACAGTCGAAAATGCTCAGATTCTCTCATCAGATTCCTGCTTCCCGTGTCACCAGAGAGGTAGATGGAGAGATGATAGTGCTTTTTGAAGTTGATAATAACTCTGTACCTTGGCATTGTGAGCTTTGAGCAAAGGATGTGAAGGAAGGTTTCCCTTTTTGTTAAGCTTTTTGGTGTCCTTGACTGGAGATATAAGACAGTGGGATGTTCTTTTGTTGTGTTAAAATCTTGTAGTTTGACAATGTAGGAAAAAAGACTTTCTCTATGTGGTTTAGATGAGAATGAGAAGTTTAAGCACTGAAAATTGCAGAGCAAGTCCAAAGATGCTAAGGTGAATCTAAAAGAGCTTATGTTTAATCTTGAGCTTTGTTTGCAGGCTACTGTCATAGACAAACAACAAGGGCGTTTGGTCTAGTGGTATGATTCTCGCTTTGGGTGCGAGAGGTCCCGAGTTCGATTCTCGGAACGCCCCTCCTTTTTTACCTATATTTTTCGGCCATGACTTTTAGTGAAGAAAGAGTAAACGACTCTCTATATAATCTCATTCATGTAACGTTACTACGGCCATGACTTTTTAATGAAGAAAGAGAAAACGACTCTGTATATATATCTCATTCACTTGACGTAACGTTCTCAAACCCTAAACTCTCAGGGAGACGATCATCACTCGATAGATAGATCGAATAAACAGAGAGAGAGCTTCAATGGAGAAGCTCTTCTACAAGTCTCAAAAGCGGTAAGAGCTCCTCTTTCATCTTCTTCTCGAATCTCCCCTGTTTTTTTCATCTTCCTATGCAATTGCTTTTGTAAGAAAAATTAAAAAAAGTTTTCGGTTCTTGTAATATAATCTTTTATCAGGTTAGGTGTCTCTTCTACTTCTTCAGATCGAGAGGGAAGAGAACAAGTTGTTATCAGAGAGGAGGAAGACATGATAAGTTCATTACCTGAACCTTTGTTATGTAACATACTTGGCTTTCTTACAATCGACGAAGCTATTTGGACAAGTGTTCTGTCTTCTAGATGGAGAAATCTCTGGAAATGGGTTCCTAGGTTAGAACTAGACACCTCTTATTTCACAAGTGACAAAGTCTGTGTTGATTTCATCGACGAGTTTCTTGCTTTCCAAGGCAACTCTTACTTGCGTGAGTTCAAGTTAACCATTGACCACGATGTCTTCCATAGTGATGCTTCTCTTTACGAACCGTGTCTCGCTAGAGTTGATATGAGAAATCTTGAACGTTTCCAAATCGAGAATCGGTTTGAAGATGAACAACGACGTAGCGTTGATATCATTGTCACACCCTTGACACTTCCTGCTGTCTGTGAGGCATTGGTCTCCTTAAAGCTCCATTTAGTTAAGCTAAATGAGTTTGAGTCTATTTCCTTACATTGTCTCAAGATCATGTACTTGGAAGACGTTGTTCTGCCTAGTGACGTGGCTACTGAAGCTCTAATCTCATCCTCTCCTGTTCTTGAAGTTTTGAAGATAAGCCTTAGTAGAGATGATGCTGTAGTAGCGTTACGTGTCTGCTCAACTTCACTAAAGAGCTTCACTCTAAGAGGAGTGGAGCGTCTTTATGATCGTAGAATTTCGGTTGTGATTGATGCACCGAAGCTTGAGTATCTGAGTCTCATGGGTTACTACTGCCATTTCAGAAGCTTTAAGATAATCAGTATGGCTGAATCTGTCAAGGTTGATATTGATGTGATCAACTTTATGCTAACTAGATATGACTTGAAGGAAGTGAAGAACGTCTACAATCTTGTCAAGAATCTTTCAGGTGTTGAAGATATGACCATATCATGGAATTCTCTAAAGGTATTATATGTTTATGAATGACTTTTTCCCATTATCATATGGTTGTTGTTTTCTCTCACTTTATCTCTTTTGCTTACAGCTTATATATAATTTGCATTATATGAAACCACCTCCCAAATTTCATGGCTTGACTCGTTTGCGTGCCACTATGCGCTTAAACGCATCCCCTAAACTATTGCCAATCCTTCTCAAGAACTGTCCCAATCTGAAACACTTGACTTTGGTAAACAATTTGGCTTTAAAAATACTTTTCAAGTTCTGAGATTATTAGTAACGTTTTATTTGTGTGTTTGCAGGAATTGTTTACTAAAGATTCTCCATATGCAGAGAGTACTAGACTCTCCACCACTGTGCTGCCTAGTTGTTTGGTATCGTCTCTTGAGTCTGTTGAAATGGAAAGTCCGGTCACGGAGGTGGCTACTGAACTGAAACTGGCTAGATACTTTATGAAGAATTCTACTACACTCAAGAAGCTAGTGCTACGTTTGAATGAGTGTACACTCAAGCCTTGTGTCTTGGAACAACTCGTGAAATCTTTTAGGAGCTATGGTTTGTGTCAGTTCGAAGTTATTCCAGTGGCTCCAACTCCGAATCCATGGCCTCATGAGGGGTATGTTTATGAAAAATTCGTAGGTTCTGAAGGTTGGAATGGTAAAAAAAATATGCAGAAGTCAACAACGATTACACTTGATGTAAGCATGCATTGTTTGAGATGAGACTGGTTGGGTCAGCCTTTAGTTTGATTCCCATGGCTTTCCTTTCCTTTTTTTCTTTTCTCTTTTCTGTGTGAGGTACTAAGACTCCATTTGATTTGGTTGAATGGTATTTAGTCTCTGTTATTAAAGTCTGTCGCAAGATTATGCACTTACAATATGTTATTATTTCATAAGCTAATATCATGCTCTGGTTTGATTATAAGACATTTGATAATAGACATAGAATCTATGCGTCTGGTCTATGTTGCTTAAGAGCTTGACTCTAGGCACTTCTTGAGTATACCGTGAATAATACAGTTCAAAGTAGTAGTTGTGATCAATACAAGTTTTTCGCGTGCGCTCCAAGGCACTAAAGAGCTTCACTCTGGAACGAGCAGAGTTGTGTTGGATTTGAATTTTTGAGAACTCCCAATTGTGGCCAGGCCCAATTGAGGATAGTCATACAAAGATATTCCGGTTTTAATACGGTTTTAATTTATAAGCTAATACTAGATTTTGACCCGCACTTTAAAAGCGGGGATACATTTTTACCATTGTGATAAAATTTATTTAAATTAATTATTCAAACACAAAAATTTAAAAATTATTTTATTATTATTAAAAAATGTTCTATTATAATGTTTGATTTTCACGTAATGTTTTCGTATCCGACCCAGATCCATAGTTGAACCGGTACATCTGGCAACTTTTATATAATCCAGTTAAGATTTAATTAAAAATTTACTAATTAAAAATTTGAGCCAACCCGATATATATCTTAAACCCCGCTATTAATATGTATTATGATATCCGTTGATCCGTAAAAAATCCCATAAAAACTGATAGTATATAGTTTTAAAAATTGTTAAATAACTCATATTTTTAATATTAAAGAAAATTGATTTTTAATTTCTTTAATAAAAACTTTCTTGTCATTTGAAAAAATGAAAAAATGATAATAGAAAAAAAACACAATTTATTTATATAACAGTATTAGTTTCTTTCGTTATTAATAACCTATGATAAGTTTACATTTTTACTCATTTTGTATCTAAAAATTAATTTTTTTAAAAAAATGAATTGACATATCATTATTATGCATAAAATGACACAGTAAATAATAGTTTATAATTTTTGATCGCTAAATAATATGATGCATAGAAATATGCTATTAAAATTAAATAAAAAACCATAATTTTCATAAAAAGAAAATTATTATTAATCACAAAACAGGCAATATTATCAGTTACCATAAATATAGGAGATATTTAGTTACTTGGTTAATTAAGATTCTAAAAATAAATAGTGGTATTATCTTATAAATATGATAAAAATCTAGGGGTAGAATCCAAAATTTTAACTATAGGATCTTACTTTAATAGTATAGATCATACAAAGATAATCCGGTTTTAATCTGGTTTTATTTTATAAACTAATATCATATAAAGATAATCCGGTTTTAATCCAGTTTTATTTCATAAGCTAATATTTATCATACAAAGATAATCCGGTTTCTTCTGTTTTCTCTTTTTCTCGAGAAAATAAATTAATTGTTATAATGTAATAATATAAAACCGGATTAACGGGGGAGGGCCACACAAAAAACAAAATTTGGTGCTTCTGAGACCAAATTAAACGTCCGATTTGCTTGTTCTTTAGCTTGTTCCGCGGTACTCACGACACGTGACGGCCTCGATTAGTTTTTTTTTTAAATCCTAAAAAAAGTTAAAAAAAAAAAAATTAAGCAGGCCCTTCGGATAAATGTGCTCTGAGCTTCTTCTAAGAACACAAACGAAGACGATTACTACTCCGTCAAAATCAAAGATAAACCTGAGAGAAGTTATTCAATGGAGAATTTCTTTTATAAGTCCCGAAAGCGAAAATGGTAAGCTCTTCTCTCCTTCCTTACTAAGCGCTTGTTGCCCTCAGTTCTGTCCTTAATCAGCTCTGTATACATTGTTGAAAGTTTCAATTTTTGTAATATAATCTTTTATCAAGTTAGGTGTCTCTTCTAGTTCTTCAGTTCGAGAGGGACGAGAACAAGCTGTTAACAGAGGAGAAGACTTGATAAGCTTATTACCTGAACCTTTGTTATGTCACATACTCAGCTTTCTCACCACTGAGCAAGCGGTTTGGACAAGTGTTTGGTCCTCTAGATGGAGACATCTCTGGAAATGGATTCCTAGGTTAGAACTAGACACCTCTGACTTCACAAATGACCAAGTCTGTGTTGATTTCATCCACAAGTTTCTGACTTTCCAAGGCAAGCACTACTTGCGTGAGTTCAAATTAACCATTGACCACGATGTCTTTGGTGGCGATGCTTCGCTTTACGAGCCGTGTCTCGGTAGAGTGTTGGATATGCGGAAGTTTGAACGTTTCCAAGTCGAGAGTAAGTTTGAACATGGTGGCATTGATGACTTCCGGACACCCTTAACTCTTCCTGCTGTGTGTGAGGCATTGGTCTCCTTAAAGCTCCATTACGTTAGGCTAACGAATGATTTTATGTTTCTTTCCTTGCCCTGTCTCAAGATCATGTTCTTGGAAGACGTTGTTCTCCCTAGCGACATAGCTGCTGAAGCTCTAATCTCCTCCTCTCCTGTTCTAGAAGTTTTGAAGATTAGCCTCAGTAGATATGATTTTGTAGTAGCGTTACGTGTCTGCTCAACGTCGCTAAAGAGCTTCACTCTAAAGCAAGTGAAACCTGCTGATGATGATGATGATGCTGTTTTACATTCAGTTGTCGTTGATGCACCGAAGCTTGAGTATCTGAGTCTCGTGGATTACTACCGTGTCAGAAGCTTTAAGATAACCAGTGTGGCTGAGTCTTTCAAGGTTGATATCAATGTCGTGTTTGGGCTGATGATTGATTACTTGTTGGAAAATAAGATCGTCTACGATCTTCTCAAGAATTTTTCAGGTGTTAAAGAAATGACCATATCATGGAAAACTCTGGAGGTATTATAAACTCTCTGACAACTTTCCCATTGTCATTGTTTTTCTTTCTTCTTCTCACTTTGTTTTGTGCTCTTCTCTTTTGCCTACAGTTTATATATCCTTTATATCAGACGAACCCAGTTCCCAAATTACATCACTTGACTCGTTTGCGTGCCACTATGTGCTTAAACGCGTCCCCTCGACTGTTGTCAATACTTCTTGAGAGCTGCCCCTGTCTGAAACACTTGAAATTGGTAAAAAATTGTCTTAAACTTTTCAGGTGCTGAGATTAGTATCTGGTCAGTCCTGGTTTTGAATTCTGTCGATTTGTGTGTTGCAGGAATTGTTTGTTACTAATTATTCAATTAGAAGGCTGTCTGAACTCTCCACTGTGCTGCCTCGTTGTTTGGTGACGTCTCTTGAATCTGTTGAAATGGAAAGCCCTGTCACGGAGAGAGCTACTGAACTGAGATTGGCTAGATACTTTATGAAGAACTCTACAACACTCAAGAAGCTCGTGCTACGTTTGAATGGGTCTACTGGAGAGAAACACAATCCTGGTGCCTTGGAACAACTCATTGACTCTCCAAGACGCTCTAGTTTGTGTCAGTTTGAAGTTGTTCCAGTGGTTCCAACTCCAAAACCATGGCCTGAGTGGTGTGTTTATGTAAAACCTAATAGGTTCTGAAGCTGGAGTTGAAGATGAAACTAGTTGGCTCAGCCTTTAGTTTGATTCCCATGGCTTCTCTTTCCTTTTTTCTTTCTCCTTTCTGTGTGAGGCTCCATTTGGTTGAATGATTTTGAGTCCCTATTATTAAACTTTGTCTCAAGATTATGCACTTAGAATATATATGTTACTATTTCCAACGCTAATATCATGCTGTGGTTTGAGTTTGTGTCTGTTCTATTCACTATAGTACTTGTTGAGCTTGTGATCTATACAAGTGCTTTGGTAATGGTTGATATTTAATGTGGACATTGACTGGACAATGACTAAGAAATTTAAATACCCAGGCCCAATTTAGCATAGCCATATAAGCTTTATTTTTTTTTCCGAGGGAAAGAAAAAGAGATGTGTCCCTTAAGAAGAGGCCCAACATTTACAAACCCTAATATTTTCTAGGAAGACGATTAATACTCAGATTTTTTTTTTTTTTTTTTTTGTCACTCGATTACTACTCGGATCAAAATCAAAGATAAAGAGGAGAGAAGTAGCTTACATGAAGAAGCTCTTCTATAAGTCCCAAAGGCGGTAAGAGCTCCTCTTTCATCTTCTTCTCTCCTTCCTTCCTCGCTCACACTTGTTCTAAGAGAAGTTAAAAAAAGTTTCGATTTTTTTTTTGTAATATAATCTTTTTATCAGGTTAGGTGTCTATTCTAGTTCTTCAGTTCGAGAGGGAGGAGAACGATTTGTTAACAAAGGAGAAGACTTGATAAGCTTATTACCTGAACCTTTGTTAATTCACATACTCAGCTTTCTCACCACTGAACATGCTGTTTGGACAAGTGTTCTGTCCTCTACATGGAGACATCTCTGGAAATTGGTTCCAAAATTAGAACTAGACACCTATGATTTCACTAATGACAAGTGTTGTGTTGATTTCATCCACAAGTTTCTGGATTTACATGGCAAGCCTTACTTGCGTGAGTTCAAGTTGACCATTGACCACGATATCTTTGGTAGTGAGGCTTCTCTCTACGAGGAATGTATTAGTAGAGTTGATATGCGGAAGCTTGAACGTTTCCAAGTCGAGAATAAGTTCAGACGTGGTGCCTTTGCTGACTTCCGAACATGCCTAACACTCTCCGTGTGTGAGGCATTGGTCTGCTTAAAGCTCCATTTCGTTAGTCTGAATGAGTTCGAGTCTCTTTCTTTACCCTGTCTTAAGATCATGTACTTGGAAGACGTTGTTCTGCCTAGTGACGCGGCTGCTGAGGCGTTAATCTCATCCTCTCCGGTTCTTGAAGTCTTGAAGATATGCCTCAGTAGAGAAGATTTTGTGGTAGCGTTACGTGTCTGCTCACTGTCGCTTAAGAGCTTGACTTTGAAACGAGTGGAAGCTATTTATCCTCGTGGACATTCTGTTTTGATTGATGCACCGAAGCTTGAGTATCTGAGTCTCATGGGTTTTTATCATTTCAAAAGCTTTGAGATAATCAGTAAGGCTGAGTCTTTCAAGGTTGATATTGATGTTGAGTTTGAGCTGTTGACTGATTACTCTTTGGAAGAGAAGATCATCGACAATCTTCTCAAGAGTTTTTCAGGTGTTAAAGATATGACAATGGCGTGGCAAACTCTGCGGGTATATAAACTGATGACAAGCTTTTAAACTTTCCCATTATCATTGTTTTTTTTTTCTTTTTTTCTCTCTCATTTTTTTTTTCTGTTTCGTTACAGTTTATAAATAGTTCCCATGAGAAGAACCCACTCCCCAAATTTCATGGCTTGACTCGTTTGCGTGTCACTATGTGCTTAGAAGCATCCCCTGAACTATTGCCGACCGTTCTTGAAACCTGCCCCAATCTGAAACACTTGACACTGGTAACAATATGGCTTAAACTTTGCAGTTTCTGAGATTAGTCCTGAGTTTGGATTTGTGTGTGTTTTGCAGGAATTGATTATCTATCGATTTGGAGTGAGTACTAGACCCACCACTGTGCTGCCTCCTTGTTTGGTGTCGTCTCTTGAATCTGTTGAAATGGAAAGCCCGGTCACGGAGGTGGCTAATGAACTGAGATTGGCTAGATACTTTATAAAGAACTCTACAACACTCAAGAAGCTCGTGCTACGTTTGAATCAGTCTTCTACTGGAGAGAAACACAAGCCTGGTGTCTTGGAACAGCTCAAGAAATATTCAAGGCGCTATAGTTCGTGTCAATTCAAAGTTCTTCCAGTGGTTCCAACTCCAAATCCATGGCCTGAGGGGTATGGTTATGTAAAATCCCATAGGTTCTAAAGGTGGAAGTTAAAGATGGAACTAGTTGGCTCATCCTTCTTTAGCTTGATTTCCATGGCTTCCCATTCCTTTTTCTTCTTCTTCTTTCTGTGTGAGGTACTTACTGGTATGGCTTAAGACTCCATTTGGTTTGGTTGAAGGATTTATGTTAAGTAATTATGCAATCAAACGATCTAACAAGTTAATATTATGCACTTGTTGAGTTTGCCGTCAACAAGACAGTTGAAAAGTAGTTTTGAGCAATACGAGTGCTTTGGTAATGGTTTATATTATAATGTGGACATTGACCATAACTTATGGGTGGTGAGTGGTGACTAAGAAATTTAAATACTATACTTAGTCAAGGATTAGTTAAAGCTGCAAGCAAAATGCATCCAACTTTTACTAGAAAACAAGAAAGGTTCAGAAATTGACAACAAGGGTTTCACTCAGACAGAATATTCAGTCTCCGGTGAGTTACTTTCTCCATACTTCTACTTTACTCGTCTTATCTATATAATGATATGAGCATGATCATTTGAATTTTTCAGGTCGTTTTCTCCAGAGAAAGAGCTATGCAGGGACGAAGTGGTGAAGACAGGATAAGCATATTACCTGAATCGTTGCTGTGTCACATACTCACATTTCTTACTACCAAGGAATCTATTAGGACAAGTGTTTTGTCCTCTAGATGGAGAGATCTCTGGCTATGGGTTCCTAGATTAGATTTGCACATATCTGACTTCTCAGAGGACACCACCTGCGTGAGTTTCATCGACAAGTTTCTGAATTTCCGAGGTGTCTTACTTGCGTGGCTTCAAGCTAAACACTGACAACGATGATGATGATGATGATGATGAAGGTTCTTCACTGGAGGCATGTCTTGTGAGAGTGGTTTACAAGTGTAAGATTCAACAACTCGAAATTGAAAACTACTTCGGGTTTTGCTACCTTGAGATGCCTCTAGTCTTTTCAATGTGTGACACATTAGTTAGCTTGAAACTCAGCTTCTTAAACTCCTCTCCAGCGATGTTGCCACTCATTCTTGATGCATGCCCGAATCTTAAACACCTCACCTTGGTGATGATTTTTGTCTACTACTTTTGCAAGTTTTCTACACATAGATTCTTACCCTTCCACCCACTCATCTTTTGTTTCTATGTTGTTGTTTTGGGCCTTTGCAGGAACTAGTTCATCATTTTCTGGTGTGAAAGAGGACAAGTATACTTCTGAATCTACTGCCACCTTCTTTGATATCGTCTATTGAATCTGTTGATATAGAGAGCCCCATCACGGATAAAGCAACGGAACTGGAGCTGGTTGGATACTTTTTAGAGAACTCAATAGCACTCAAGAAGATTGTTCTACGTTTGAACCACTCGTGTCTGAGAAAACACAAGCCGGGTCTGTTGAAACAACTCTTTGTATCTCCGAGATGCTCTGGTTTGTGTCAGTTTTTCATTCTTTGACATCAAGATTTTGGATTTTACATTCAAGTCCCAGGTCTTTCTGTACTTGGTGCAACATCTACTTGTAGCATCTGAATAGAACATTTGGATGTTGCATCCAAACGTTGTCCGGCTTTATAGTTAGCATTTGCATCCATAATTTCGAATTGTTTTAGATTTTTTGTTATTCTGAAATAATATGAAGATTTCTTTATTTTTAAATACTGTATATGTAATATTTTACAAAACTTGACTTACAGTTTATTTTAAAATATTAAAATTACCAAGAATATATCATATTTTTAATAAAATAATACTGATATATTATTAAAAACGTAGGTAAATTTAAAATAAAGTAAATGTTAAAAATTAAGTTAATTTTTTTTATTTAAGTTAATGTTATTGATAGGTGTTTGAAAAATGTTCTTATATAAATTTATATTAATTTTATTGACAAGTCTAGTTATATGTAAATTAATTTGTCAATTTTCTTCTTTCTCACTGAACATATATAACTGATTAATTATATGTAAATTATTTTATATTATATTTTAAATAAATATAAGGATTTAAAATACACACAATGTATAGTCTAATATATATACTAGGTATAGGTAAACAACATCCATATTGCATCAACAATATATATTTAGTTTGCTTGTTTACATCAGTTTATTATTGGATAATAATAACATTCTAATATTATAATAGTCTTAGTACAATAATTTTTGTTATGTTAGCATAGATGTATATGCCGTAGGATTTATTTTGTTTAGTATAACAAAAATAATGTAGGATTAGATAAATGATTTTTTACATACACTATAAATAAAAATATATCTATACTAATATTGTTAAAGTGTACGTAGTATGTACCCTAACTAGCTTATTGCGTTAAGCAACTAGGTCAAATATAATACTAGTTTTGTTATTCATTTTTTAGTATTATTCCTAGTTCCTTTTTATTAAATAACAGTTTATTAAAAAAATCATCGACCAAAAAACTACAAAAACTTGGCTTTTTGATTTTCGCTTGAAAATAGGTAGTTATAGTAAAAACTAGTTTCCCTATATTTTAAGAAAACCATTTTCCCAAAAACAAAAACTAAAAACCATTTTAAAAACTACTAACAATCAACCTCTTCTCAAGAAGACCCTTGCTACTCCTCACTGACCCAGGCCCAAATTGAGCATAGTCATACAACCTGACCCGGTCTTAATCCGGATACCCGGTTATCCACTCATTTATAGTCTCTCTAGACTCATTACACTAATTTATTTATTTTTCCGAGGGAAAGAAAAACAGAATAAGAAGAAGACAGACGACGACGACGACACAAACCCTAAGATTTCAGGGAAGACGGTTACTACTCGGATCAAATCAAAGATAAACAGAAGAGAACTTCAATGAAGCAATTTTATAAGTACCAAAAGCGGTAAACCTCCTCTCCTCTCCTCTCCTCTCCTTCCTCAATCCTATCGTTGCGCTCACTTTATGCATTTTGTAATTAATCTTATTATCAGGTTAGGTGTCTCGTTTAGATCTGCTCGAGAAGGAGAACGAGCTGTCATCACCGGGGAAGATAGTTTAACCTTATTACCTGAACCTTTGTTATGTCACATACTCAGCTTTCTCACCATGTCTTATCCTCTAAATGGAGATATCTCTGGAGATGGGTTCCTAGTTTAGAACTAGACAGTGCTGACTTCACTAATGACCAAGTCTGTGTCGATTTCATCGACAACTTTCTTGCTTTCCAAGGAAACTCTTACTTGCGTGAGTTCAAGTTAACCATTGACCCTGATGTCTATACTAGTGAGCTTTCTCTTTACCCGCCGTGTCTCGGTAGAGTGTTGGATATGCGGAAGCTTGAACGTTTCCAATTCCAAGTCGTGAACAAGTTTGCATCATCACCAGATTGTAGCAGTGTTTACATCCGGTTAACACTTCCTGCTGTGTGTGAGGCATTGGTCTCCTTAAAGCTCCATTCCGTTTGGCTGATTGATTTTGATAAGTCTCTTTCCTTGCCCTGTCTCAAGATCATGTTCTTGGAAGACGTTGTTTTTCGTAGCGACGCGGCTGCTGAGGAGTTGATCTCCTGCTCTCCCGTGCTAGAAGTTTTGAAAATAAGCCGTGGTGGAAAAGATGGTGTGGTAGCTTTACGTGTCTGCTCGCTGTCGCTTAAGAGCTTCACTTTAAAACGAGTGAAACCTCTTTATGCTCGTGGACATTCTGTTGTGGTTGATGCACCGAAGCTCGAGTATCTGAGTCTCACGGATTATTACCATTTCAGAAGCTTTAAGATAATCAGTAAGGCTGAGTCTTTCAAGGTTGATGTTGATGTCCAGTTTGAGCTGATGACTGATTACTTTTCGGAAAAGAAGATCGTGTACAATCTTTTCAAGAGTTTTTCTGGTGTTAAAGATTTGACCATATCATGGAATACTCTGCAGGTATATAAACTGATCAAACTTTCCCATTATCATTGGGCTTTTCTACTTCTTCTTCTTCTCACTTTGTGTTGTGCTTTTCTCTTTGCTTACAGTTTATATATTGTTCACATCAGACGAACCCAGTCCCCAAGTTTCATGACTTGACTCGTTTGCGTGTCACTATGTGCTTAAATGAATCCCCTGTGCTGTTACCAGTCGTTCTTGAGAGCTGTCCCAATCTGAAACACTTGACATTGGTAACAATTTTGGCTTAAACTTTGCAATTTTTTTAGTTTAGTAAGGTTTTTATCTGGTCATTCGTGGTTTTGAATTCTGTCGATTTGTGTTTTTTTTTGGCAGGAGCTTGTTATTGAGTCTCCATATGCAGAGAGTACTAGTCTCTCCACTGTGCTGCCTCGTTGTTTGTTATCGTCTCTCGAATCTGTTGAAATGGAAAGCCCTGTCACGGAGGTGGCTACTGAACTGAGATTGGCTAGATACTTTATAAAGAACTCTACAACACTCAAGAAGCTCGTGCTACGTTTGAATGAGTCTACTGGAGAGAAACACAAGCCTGGTGTCTTGGAACAACTCAAGAAATATTCAAGGCGTTATGGTTCATGTCAATTCAAAGTTCTTCCAGTGGTTCCAACTCCAAATCCATGGCCTAAGTGGTGTGTTTATGTAAAATCTAATAGGTTCTAAAGCTTGAGTTAAAGATGAAACTAGTTTGCTGCTCGATTCCCATGGCTTCCCTTTCCTTTATTTCTCTCTTCTGTGTCAGGTACTGGTATGGCTTAAGACTCCATTTGGTTTGGTTGAAGGATTTTGAGTCTCTATTATTAAACTTTGTCTCAAGATTATGCACTTAGAACATGTTATTGTTATTTTCAAAGCTAATATCATACTCTGGTTTGATTATAAGCCATTTGATAATGACGTAGAGTTTATGTGTCTATAGCACTTATTGAGTTTGCCGTCAACAAGACAGTTGAAAACTAGTTGTGGATCAATACAAGAGCTTTGGTATAATGGACTAATGGTTGATATTTAATGTGGACGTTGACTGGACCCATAACGCATGGCATGGGTAATGAGTCATGACTTAAGAGATTTAAATAATATACTTAGTCAAGAATAAGTTAAAGCTGCAAGATGCATCCAACTTTGACTAGAAAACAAGAAGAAGGCCAAAGATAACAACGAAGATTCAGAAAATAGAAGACGAGGGTATCATCTCCACCGAGAATATTCAATCTCCGGTGAGTTACTTTCTCCATCCTTATACTTTACTCAGCTAATCTATGTAACTGCAAAGTTTTTAGTTTAAACGATATGAGCATATGATCATTTGAATTTTTTAGGTCGTTTTCTCTCTCAAGTTAAGAAAAAACTATGCAAGGACGAAGTAGCACAAGTGGTGAAGACAGGATAAGCATGTTACCTGAACCGTTGCTATGTCATATACTCACCTTTCTTACTACAAAGGAGTCTATTAGGACAAGTGTTTTGTCCTCTAGATGGAGAGATATTTGGCTATGGGTACCTAGGTTAGATCTGGAAAAATCTGACTTCACAGAGGACAACACCTGCGTGACTTTCATCGATAAGTTTCTGAATTTCCGAGGTGAGTCTTACTTGCGTGCGTTCAAGCTAAACACTGACCATGATGATGATGAAGTTCCATCAGTGGAGGCATGCCTGACGAGAGTGGTTAACAAGTGTAAGATTCAACATTTCGAAATCGAGAATCACTTTGTGTTTTGCTACCTTGAGATGCCTCTAGTCTTTTCAATGCGTGACACATTAGTTAGCTTGAAACTAAGCTTCGTGAGTGTGAGTGATTTCGACCAGTCTTGTTCTTTACCATGTCTCAAGACTCTGCACTTAGAAAGAGTCACCTTCCCCAGCGATGAGACTGCAGAGGCACTAATCTCTTGCTGTCCTGTTCTCAAGGAGTTGAAAATGAGTCAGAGTAGATATGACTCTGTACAAGTCTTACGCGTCCGCTCTAAGTCATTAAAGAGCTTCACTCTCGAACGGGCAGATCCTGACCGTGTTGAAAATAGTTTGGATACAGTTGTGATCGAGACTCCGGGACTTGAGTATCTGAATCTCATGAATTACCAATACAAGAGCTTTGAGATAATCAGTATGAGTGAATCTGTCAGGTTTGATATTGACGTTGTGTTAAACATCACTTGTAACTTTATATCCTTTGTTTCAAATGCTAGAGATATAACCATCTCAAGGAGGACTCTTGAGGTATGTACACACACACACTGATCTCTTAAATTCTCTCTTACGAGTTTTTACTAAATGTGAAGTTTTGCTATCTGGCAGTTCATCTATTATCACCTGGAAATAAACCGACGATCCAAATTTCATGGCTTGACTCGTCTTTTTGCTACTATGTTCTTAAACTCTTCTCCAGAGATGTTGCCAGTGATTCTTGAAGCATGCCCGAATCTCAAGCACCTCACCTTGGTGATGATTCTTGCCTAGTTTTACACATACTTTCCACCCACTCATCTTTTGTGTTCTATGTCATTGATTTGGGCTTTTTGCAGGGACTGGTTCATGATTTTCTGGTGACACAGGGGACAAGTAGACTTTTGAATCTATTGCCTCCTTCTTTGACATCGTCTCTTGAATCCGTTGATATAGAAAGCCCCATCACGGATAAAGCAACGGAACTGGAGCTGGTTAGATACTTTCTAGAGAACTCGACAAAACTCAAGAAGCTTGTCTTACGTCTGAACCAGTCTTGTCGGAAAAAACACAAGCCAGGTCTCTTGAAACAACTCTTCCAATCTCCAAGATGCTCTGGTTTGTGTCAGTTTGTCATCCTTTGACAATCAAGTTGTTGAACTTGGTTTTTATACTTAAAATCCTCAAGCTTTTTTATACGCCCTGAGTGGCTAAGTGATATATTGCTTGACAATGATTGGTTCCAATAACGAAAATAAACTATGAAATGAGGATCCTTAAAGAGACCCACTTTAGTTTTTTTTTTTGAGTTTTAAGGATCAAAAGAATCCTCAAATTTGGAACTTACAAAGTCTTAAACCCCCCAAACATAACTTGAGAACTTCATCACTTCATCTTCTGCTCAGTGAAGAGAACGTGACGGTTGACACGTGGATCGTACTTGCGGAACTCAAGCTTCTCAAGAAGACCTTTGCTACTCTTCCTCTTGACATAGAAGAATCCTGTTCCAGCTGCTGAGACTAAACGAATGAACATGAACGTCTTCTTCCTCTTGTCCCCCATTTTTTTTTCTCACTCTAACCATAAAAAAGAAAGATAATTAAACCATCAACAAATCTCAATTTCAATATTTGCATCATCACACGACCTAAAAAAAATCTAACGATCAAAGTGCAATCACAAACCTTTCCTAAACCATAAACCCTAGATGATTCGATACATCGATGAAATGGACGAGAAATCAAGAATAATCGCAAAATGAAACAGTGAATTTCACAGGATAGCAAACACGGATGTGGAGCAGCAGAATCTTACCTATGGCAGACGGACGGCGATGAGACGGCGGTGATACGACGGCTGAGAATGATTCGGGAGTGAGAAGAAGCTAAGAGAAAGAGTGATTTAGCAACAAAACAAAAAGCTTTCTAATCAGGCCCATTAACTATAAATGGGCTTTTGAATAAAATATTTGATCTAATAGGCCCAATCAGGGAACGTTGTTCTTTCCAGCAACTCTCATCTGGTTCTGTTCTCTCTCTCTCTCTCTTATTTCGCCTTCGTAACTCAGTGAAGAAGAAAGATCCAAATCGATCCGTTGAAAAGGTATGTCGATGATCGTTACCTACTCTTAGATTTTACTGTGAATTTTTGAATTTTATTTTTCTTTTGCGATTGCGATTGATTTTATACCCTTTGGATTCAGGTTTAGGGATTTCGAATTTTTTCTGAACTATGTCGAGTGCAGTGGACGCGACGGGTAATCCGATCCCTACTTCCGCGGTGTTGACTGCTTCCGCGAAGCATATAGGTTTAAGATGTATGCCAGAGAACGTTGCGTTCCTCAAATGCAAGAAGAATGATCCTAACCCCGAGAAATGTCTCGACAAGGGTCGTGACGTCACTCGCTGCGTGCTTGGCTTGTACGTGTTTCTTCAAACCTCTTTTTTTTTTTAATTGATTTTGTTCTCTTTAAGTTAGTATTAGCTTCTGTGGTTGGTTGTGAGGAAGATAGGAGTATGAAATGGTTAGTTTAAGGATTTGATTCATTCTTCTAGTCTGAAAGTTTACTTTATTCATTGAGAAAATGTATCTGAAACCAGGGCTTGTGGCCTGGTGGTGATTAATTTGAGGGCAAAAGCCCAATACGATGAAGCCACCATAGTTCGAGTCCCGGCCACTCGGGAAATAACATTTCGGCATCGCCGCCGGGGACAGAGGACCCACGTGGCAACGCATGACTATGTCTGGATCATTTCTGTGGGGCTAGTATACCTCTGTATAATTCAAAAAAGAAAAAAAAAAAGTATCTGAACATAGCTAGCACAGGCTTAGCTATTCTTAGCCTCGTGCATGAGGTCATTAGATGGTTTGAAACACGGTAGATGAACTAGTAAGTTTTGTGTATTGTTTAGAGTCCAGAAGAGCTTGCATTTTTATGTTATGATATTTTTAAAACTGACACACACACACCAAGCAATAGAGTAACCTTTTGTGCTTCACTAGGCATGGTAGTAACAGATTCATACAATTATTTTTCTGTTCATATCTTTTTTTTTTTCCTAAGCTGAAATTCGTTAAGAAGTCAACTGCTTCTCTTGGGATGTTGGTTTAAGACTCCATTTTTTTTTTGTTTAGAAGTTGTTTACAGTGCTATGATTATATTAATCAAAAATATTATGAACCTATCTATCGCACTGTGATTCGGTAATGATGTTGATTTCACATTGCGACTATTATTTAGTTTTGTTGATGGTTTGGTGAATTTTTGCAGGTTGAAGGATCTTCACCAGAAGTGTCAGAAGGAGATGGATGACTATGTTGGGTGTATGTATTACTACACGAATGAGTTTGATCTGTGTAGGAAAGAGCAAGAAGCCTTCGAGAAAGTGTGTCCCTTGAAGTGAGAATCACAAGTTATTGTCATGTTTTTAATTTGTAATCTCCTAATAAAGCAAAATGTTCATTTTTGAATGAGCTTTACTCTCTCTCTTCGTTTTGTTGTTGTCATCACCATTTTTTCCTCTCGAATGCTCTTGTAGCAAGTCATCAAAGACAACCAAATGACTCATTTTTCATTGTCTGATGGTTTTTCAATCAGCACAGAATAGATTTCCCGAGTTATTATCTGTGTCTATGAGCTTTTATGGGTTACCTTACCCAGCAGTTGAAGCTTCAAATGTTTGTAAGATTTTCATTCAGTTTAATCAAGTCTTTTTTGAAATGGTGATAGGACAGAAGTACAGAACATTGTCAATCTTTGCCACACAGACAATTGTCATGGCAGATGGTGCCTGAGACTAAAGGGAAGACAAGACTCGAACTTGTTCCTGTGGTGAGGTCAAGGTGGAGTTTAGTAAAATACTAAGGATTTTATTTTTGTTTTGAGCTTACATAGTTTTATTTATTTTTTGTTCATCATTGTTAAATGTTCTCATCAAGAAATTAATGTGAAGTTGAGTAGAGTTTGATACGTTTATAACTTTGTATATTTGTCACAAGCCCTATATTTTGTTATTCTGGCCATCATGAACTGACAAGAACAGTTCACCAGCCACCACCATTTAAACTCATTTTTCAAGATTTAATTCCGTGTTTACATTTTCAATATATCTAGAGCTCTTCATTATGATGCAGAGTGTCTTAGCAAGAGCATTGAGAGTTCTTAGGCGGATTTTGGGCTCGGGTTCTTAGGCCCAGAAGGAAAAAGAAAAATAGAAAATGGGTAATTACCCGTGATCCGCGTCTTAGCTCTGAACCCGTATGATACGGGTTCAAGACACGTGTCGCGTGGGGAGTGGACGTTTGGAGGACGCGGTTTAGCCGAAGAAAGAAGGATCTCGCGTGTATTTTCATTTCGTCCTTTCTCGAAAGAAACCTAGGGTTTTTTTTGCTCCGAGGCGATTCTTGGTGCGACGACGAAGACGGTTGATTTACTCCGGCTAATCATCGACGGTGTGCATCCTCGATCATCTCAGGTTAGTTTCTCGTCGATTAACCGTCTCAAGTTCATGTTTTTAGGGTTTTTAACGAATTCGGGGAAGCGAAATCGAAATCGATTTAGGGGTTTTTAGGTTTTGATGTTAATCGACTCGGGTGTTTTTCTTTATTGTTCTAAACTGTGGTGTGGGTTGGATTTAGGCTTCAATTAGGGTTTATCTCGAATTGATTTGAGATTTCAAATTAGGGTTTCGAAAAATGGATTTGGGGGTTTTGATTTATTGTTCTAAACTGTGATGTGGGTTCGATTTAGACTTCAATTAGGGTTACTTACGAATCGATTTTGGATTTCAATTTAGGGTTTCAAAAAATCGATTTGGGGATTTCAATTAGGGTTTAGAAAAATGGATTTCAACATAAGAATGAAACATTCTAGTATACTCATCTTATTTTGCTTTGTCTTTGCAGATGGATCCCGCGGAAGAGAGAAGACAGTCAAAGAGGCTGAAGGAACACTTGAACATTCTTGGCTACGTAGCCGATTCTGAGTTCGGGATGCCAAGAAGGTGTGCATGTGGTGCGAAGATCATCGACGAGGTTAGTGGGAAGGAGGACTTTGACACTATCCCGGGGAAGCGGTTCTTCACTTGTTCTAAGTACAAGGTAAAGTTGGATTTCAAGCTTTTTTTATCTGTGTTTTTTTTTAAAATAATTGTCTAACTTCATTGTGTTTTTCTTTGTTTACAAGGGAGATGGTTTACATTATAGGCAGCCTTGGGTCATTGATGTTCAAGAGGAGATTGAAAGGTTGACTATGCGCGTGGAGGAGGCTGAGAAGGTGATGAAAGGGGTCTCGAGTCTCACTAGACAGATCGAGTCACTCGAGGTTAGTGGTTCTGTATTGCTATAGTTTTATGCAGTATAGTTAAATGTGAGTAATAGTAAAGTTTAATTGTTTTGAACTTGTGCAGGAACAGGTTAAAATATTGTCTGCCCAGGTAGATTACCTCACTGTGGAGATGGCTGCTTTGGTGAAGGTGTGCTTCGACTGATATGTCAAGGTAAAAAACTTAATAAGTTCTTAATAAGTTTTCTTTTAAAAAAACTTAATAAGTTTTCTTTTAAAAATCTAGTTCTTAATAAGTTCTTAAGGTATCTTTTAAAAAACTTAAAAATCAAAATACTGATAAACTTTGGAAAACTTAATAAGTTTTCTTTTAAAAATCTAGTTCTAGGTTTGCTAGAACTAGTCCTCTAGTTCTTTAGTGAGACTAACCTAAAAAGAAACTAAAATTCAACGGCTACTTAAAAAACATTAATTGTTTGTTGTTGGTTGTTGTGACTCATGTTTGCTTTCCTTAGACTGATATGATGGGTTATTGAATGTCTTGTCTGATGTAGTTGTAGAGAAATTGAACCTTAATGAATTTTGGTTGTTGAGTAATTTAACCTTAATGAATTTTGGTTGTTGAGTTTCAGTAATTTAAACCACTTTAAAAAGNAAACCATAATCCTCTTAACAAACCAAAATTTTAATCAACAACTATAACCTTAATGGATCCTTTTTACCACAATTCTCCCGGGTTTATTAACCTGTTAGCGTCCCAAAGCAGTCAACCCATAGACGTAGAGATTCCTGAGCCTCCTAAAGCGTTTGAAAGAAGAAAGTGGCAGACAAAAGAAGACCTTGTGCTCATTTCCACTTGGTTGAACACCAGTAAGGATCCCATAGTGGGGAATGAGCAGAAGGGACTCTGTTTTTGGAAGAGAATTGAGGAGTACTTCAATGCTAGCCCTCAGCTAAGTGGTCAAGCTCCAAGAGAGTGGAGCCAATGCAAGCAGAGATGGGGGAGAGTGAATGGGGATTTCTGTAAGTTTGTGGGATGCTTTGAGGCAGCTTCGAAGACGCCTCTTAGTGGTACCAATGACATGGATGTCATGACTGTTGCAAATGACATCTACACAAATGATTACGGGGCGAAGTTCGGACTTGAACATTGTTGGAGGGCACTACGATTCGAACAGAAATGGAAGTCTAGCGTTACGTCCAGAGATGGTCCAACTGAGAAAAGGAAGGAAGCAGAGCACTTGGAACCGGACGTGGAAGAGGTTAGGCCGCCCGGTGTTAAGGCAGCCAAAGTAGCCAAGCGAAAGAAACACGGGAATGAGGCGGCTTATGATCAAATCCAGACAATGCTAGATATGAGGCAGCTCATTTCCAAACAGAAAATACTCGAGCGTCTCCTTGGGAAAGAAACTCTAACTGAAACTGAAGAGAGTTTGAAGAACAAACTCATGGCTGAAATGCTTTGAGCTGGTGTGTTAACTTGTTTAACTTGTTTAACTGAAGAGAGTTAACTTGGCTGAAATGCTTTTCTGTTTTAACTTGGTTGATATGTTTTAACTTGGTTGATATATTGATTGCTTGGTAACTTGGTTGATATGTTTTCTGTTTTAACTTGGTTGATATATTGATTGCTTGGTAACTTGGTTGATATGTTTTCTGTTTTAACTTGGTTGATATATTGATTGCTTGGTAACTTGGTTGATATGTTTTTAGTTTTAACTTGGTTGATATATTGATTGCTTGGTAACTTGGTTGATATGTTTTTAGTTTTTACTAACTGCTTTCTCTTGTTTTGTTTTGTTTTACAGGGTCACGGGTGGCAGGGACAGTGGTGATGGTCACGGGTTTTAGCTTGGTCGTTTGTTTTTAAGTATTTCTTTCACGGCTTGATGAGTGTAGCATTTTGTTTGTTTGCTACACTTGTTTTATCTTTCACGGCAGGAGTGTAGCATTTTGTTTCTTTGCTACACTTGTTGGTATGTATGTGTTCAGTCACGAGAAAGTGTATGTGACAATATGTATGTGTGTGTCACGAGAAAGTATTTTGTAAGATGCAAGAACATCACTTTTCTATATAAATATGGGTCTCTTTGATTTTCATTTTCATTGTCTACCAAACATTAACATTTTCTCTCTAGCAAACATTCTATCTATTTCTTTTCAATTGTATCAACCAACAAAGATTCATTTACTCACACACAACCAACAATCTCTATTTTCATTCTGTCAACCAACAATCACACAAGTGCCACAACCAACAACCGAGATTCATTTACTCACTAGCAAGCATTTCTCAGTTTCTCTCATTTGCAATACCAAGGTAAATTTTAAAAATCAAGAAACTTAGTTTTAAAAGTTTATTAAAATTTAGTTAGTTTAAGATATATAGAGTTGGTTAAATTTTTAAAATCAAGAAACTTAGTTTTAAAAGTTTATTAAAATTTAGTTAGTTTAAGATATATAGAGTTGGTTAAATTTTTAAAATCAAGAAACTTAGTTTTAAAAGTTTATTAAAATTTAGTTAGTTTAAGATATATAGAGTTGATTAAATTTTTAAAATCAAGAAACTTAGTTTTAAAAGTTTATTAAAATTTAGTTAGTTTAAGATATATAGAGTTGGTTAAATTTTTAAAATCAAGTAACTTAGTTTTAAAAGTTTATTAAAATTTAGTTAGTTTAAGATATATAGACTTGATTAAATTTTTAAAATCAAGAAACTTAGTTTTAAAAGTTTATTAAAATTTAGTTAGTTTAAGATAAATTTAGTTTTGAGAGTTTTAAAATACAAAATATTAAATTTGTGTATCTCTAGGTATGTCTTCCACATCCTCAGATGACGTAGATGAAAGGTTAGACGAAGTTCTTGAAGACATGATCGACCAACAAGTGGATGATTTCCTCGACTCGATTGTTGATGGACAACCCAACAAGCCAAGGAAGCGAGGTTTTGTCGAAAGNTTGTTTGGAGATGAGTATCTAAGAAGACCTACGGCAGAAGATCTTCAACGATTACTTGATGTTAGCGAGGTACGTGGCTTTCCAGGGATGATAGGCAGCATCGACTGCATGCATTGGGAGTGGAAAAATTGTCCAACGGCTTGGAGAGGCCAGTACACACGTGGGTCGGCTAAGCCGACAATTGTTTTAGAGGCTGTGGTGTCACATGATCTTTGGATATGGCACTCATTTTTCGGATTACCAGGTACCCTCAACGATATTAATGTTCTTGATAGGTCACCAGTTTTCGATGACATTATACAAGGTCGAGCTCCTAAAGTTAATTTCAAGGTCAACAACCACAACTATCGTATGGCATACTACCTCACCGATGGTATTTATCCGAAATGGGCAACGTTTATCCAATCCATCTCACTTCCTCAAGGTCTTAAAGCAGAGCTATTTGCTCAGCGTCAAGAATCCACAAGAAAAGATGTCGAACGGGCTTTTGGAGTATTGCAATCAAGGTTTGCAATCGTTAAAAACCCGGCTCTACTATGGGACATAAATAAAATTGGAAGGATTATGAGAACTTCTGTCATATTGCACAATATGATAGTAGAGGACGAACGAGAAACATACACTCTCTATGATACATCTGAGTTCGAGACAGGAGAGTCAAGCAGAAGTTCTCAAGTTGAAACGACAACAACTATACATGCCGGTAATATGCACGGTGTTCGCAATCAAATTCGAGATTCACAGATACATGCTCGTTTGAAAGCTGATTTGGTTNTCGAGACAGGAGAGTCAAGCAGAAGTTCTCAAGTTGAAACGACAACAACTATACATGCCGGTAATATGCACGGTGTTCGCAATCAAATTCGAGATTCACAGATACATGCTCGTTTGAAAGCTGATTTGGTTGAAAATATTTGGCAAAAGTTTGGTAATCAACATTAATAATATTTGTATGTTCATGACTTATCAATGTAACTTATCAATGTATTGAATAAAACTTGTTTTATTAAAAATAAAAAATTATCAATTTCATGTTCATGAGTTCTTTAAAAAATTATCAATTTCATGTTCATTGAATATTAACTTTAAAAAAAAAAATTATTTTCTAAAAATATATATTATTTTAATCCTAAGAACCCCAATCCCGAGTTCACTGATGGAGGTACACTTTTCACCAGGGTTCAACACTATTCCTGAACCCACTAAAAATATAATAAAAAATACTTATGAACCCCAAGGGGGGGTTCATTGGTGGACTTGCTCTTAGAGCTCTTCATTATGATGCAGAGTGTCTTAAATAATTCCGTGTTTACATTTTCAATATATCTAGAGCTCTTCATTATGATGCAGAGTGTCTTACAAATTGTAAAGATGTTAAAAAGAGAGAGAAAAAATATCATGGGAAACAACTCCATGAGAGCTTTGAATACTCTGAGAGCTCAAGAGGGTTAAATTACCTAACTTACCCTCCCTTCTCGGTTGATGACGTGGTGTAATTCATCTACTGTACCCTGTGACTTTCTTTCTTTATAATTTTTTTTGTGCTTTATTGAGATTTTTTTTCTGTTAATCTCTCTCTCGATTTGATCACTCAAAGAAGAGTGAGTGAGGATCAAACAATCATATCAATGGCGTCTCCAACACCAACGAGAATCTGGTTCCGTATACTGATCCTGATCTCTTTAATGGTGGTTCTCTTCTACGTCGGCCGTCCTCTCTACTGGAAAATCTCCGCAACCATCCACGATATCCGCCACAATAAGCAATCCGTCAGAGAAGGTAACTCTCCACTTCCCTTCTCTCTCTCCGATTAATTCTCTCTTATCTTTCCTTATTACGATCCGTGTTGTTTGGATACAGGTATATCGCAGATCGTACAAGAAGCTCAGAGATCGGTGGGATGGTACCACGACGAGTCGGATTCTGGATTGTTAGAGGTTCATAACAAGAAATCAAGAGTCTCCACCTCTCGGAAGCTTCTTCTTTTCGCCGGAGATCAGTGAGAAAAAAAAAATCATCGTTGGTTTCTTGAATAATTTGTAGTGTTGTGTTTGTTGTCTGTGTGTAATGTTTTGATCAGATCGCCACTTTAGAAGAACATAATCAAGTTCTATACGTCGACGTTTCGTGATTCGTATTCCGACAAACATGATGTTCTTAATAAGGTATATATATTAAACTATAAAAGAGAGCTTGTGTATTTCTGTTTGTATAAGCTTTTGCTTGAAACTTGTTTACGAGTCTAGTTGATGTGCTAACTTGTTTACTGTAACATTATAAATCCGTAGATAGTAATGTGAAGATGAAAAGCCAAGAACAAACATAATTCATACATGATATTAACAAATAATAGTTTTTTTTTGTCAAAGATTGAAAAAACAATAGAAAGAACACAACATCATGATCATAATCAAATACATACATACAACATTTTAGAAGCAAATACTTAACCTAAAATGTTTCATGAGTCTTTAGATGTTCCGAGAACAGTTTCCATGTGTCGATTAATATCGTTCAAGTATCTTGTTGAATTGTATTCTTCGTTATCCAATAGTTCTTCTGAGTAAGTCCTCTGTAGTTTGGAGTTTTGTCGTTGTTTTAGTTGGTCTAAGCTGCACTTGTCTCCCCTTAGAATCTCCACAATCTGTGTATATATATTCACACTTCATTATATATTGTTAAAAGTAAAGTGGTAACTAGTTTAAATGATGAATGCATGCCTGATTCATGTGAGGCCGGTTCATGGAGGTTTGGTGAATACACAAGGACGCTATGAATACTAGACGTTCCAACTCTTCTAAGTCGTAGTCATCTCCCATAACCGGATCAACAAGTTTTTTGATCTTGTTTTCTTTGATCAATGGCTTCGCCTGCAAGAACATATATAGGTGTTAGTAATTTCATAGCGAAATAGATATAGCATTCTATTAGGGTCTAAGAAAGGGTCAGAACATCACATACCCACATGACAAGGCTATGTTGTGAGCTGTCAAGGGCTTGTTTACCAGTAATGAGCTCAAGAAGCAGTACACCATAAGCATACACATCTGTTTTCTCGTCTACAATCCCGTGCATAAAGAACTCCGGTGGAAGGTAACTGATCAATAAAATATATACGAGATCATGTTAGATAATATGAAGCACAAGATATATGTATCAGTGAGAGGATCCAAACCCGAATGTTCCTTCTATTTTCGACACGGTATGGTGAGTCCATTGGTCTGGTAGCCATTTAGCCAGCCCAAAATCAGATATCTAAGAAAGAATGACAAGGTTTTGAGTTCACTCATGTCTCATAATCATTAACTTGAAAGATGTTAGAATCTTTCTCATTCATAATTACCTGAGCCTCGAAATTCTCAGTGAGAAGAATGTTAGAAGCTTTGATGTCTTTATGAATGATCCTTCTCTGACAACCTTCATGGAGATAGTACAGTCCTTCTGCTGTTCCTGTCGCCACTTTGTATCTTATGCTCCAACTCAATTTCTCTTTCGCCTCTACAAAATGTTACAAGGATCTTAATATACATCAAAGGTATGACAACAACAAGACCTATTATATACATCAACTGAAACCTATTTTCATAATGAACTTGCTTTTACTTTAATATATGTATAGAAGTTTCATATAGTTTTCAAAGATTGTTTTGAAAACATTAGTAACTAATTTTTATCACCGTAGAGTAAAGAAGCTAGGCTTCCATTAGGAGATAGCTGAAGAACAAGATGCATCCCTCCTTCGACACAATATCCAATAAGCTTAGCAATGTTTGGATGATCTACATGAACTATGATCCCTAATTCCGACAGATAATCCATTGTCATCTCTTCAGCAGAACCTCTAGTTAGTTTCTTTATGGCTACTATTTGCCCATCAGCCATCTGCCCCTGATACACTTCTGCATATCCTCCTTCCCCTATCAGATTATCTGCCAAAAATATCCACAATTATTCATGGTACATTACTTCACATATAAACAAGTTGTTTTTTACAAGATTAGTGTTCAGACCACGGCTGAATCCATTAGTAGCGGTTTGAATATCTTGGAGAGAGTAGTTTCTCCAAGAGGGTTTGAAACAGAACAAGTCACCAGTGTCGAGAGAAGTAGCTGCAGGTAGAACAGGGACCATGTTGTCTCTTATGCGTTTGCTTTTACGTCTGGTTAGTTTAGGGACTCCTTTAAGAGGTGTGTTGAATGGCATTGCGGATGATCCTTTCTTGAGTAAACGGACGAAACGACCTCTCCAGTGACCGCTACTGAGGCCTATGTGGTGGTGTGAATGGTGTTGAGCTTCTGCTGACGTGCTCACCACGGGACATGCTGTTTCTGATTCTATGCTCCTTTGTAAGTCATCATCTGATTTTAATTTGTTGGGGGAGAATTTTATGGTTTCTTCATTTGAACAGAATGATTGTAAATCTGATGCAGAGGAAAAAAAATTAATGAAAACTTTTAGCACAAGGAACAACTTGATTTCCTTGTAACCTATTATTGACCTAATTATTAATTACCATGAGAAGAGAAAGAATCAGAGAAGCCAGCTCGAGATCTTCTCGTTGAGAGAGGTGTTGGTTGTTTTCCACGATCCTTAACGTCTACATCGCTGCGAGATCACATGTTTGTAATTTGCATTATAAACCAAATGACTTGCGAGACAAGGTACACAACAATTTGCGAATCAACGTTAAAAACATGCCTCTGAAGGCAATTAAACAGTAAAGTTAGATGTTTTGTTAGAAAATTACCAGGAGGGAGAAGAAGAAGACGTTGTCGTGGAAGCAAGATTTTCTGATGATTCTCTAACGCGTTCCATGGTTTGGAGACAGAAGATTGAGACAGGGAAGGGAAATAGAAGAAATGACTTAAGGAAAGAGAAGAGAGAAAGACATGATCATATCTTCTCTCTGTTGTTATAACTGAAAATCCGCTTCTTCTCTTAGGGCCTTTTTCTTTCTTAATTTTAGATGAAACAAAAGTCCATCTTTTTTTTTTCTTTCGAAATAGAAAATTCCCAGAGATTGTCCTCAATGCTTTGATCAACATTTTAAAAAATACTATTTATTTTAAAGAAAACAAAAACATTTTAAAAATACTAAATTTAGAGTAACAGACTACTGTTTTCTCTAATTATTGGAGATGGCTTTTATATGTTTCTATGCACACATAAAGGCATTTTCAAGTTAAGAAAATATATTCTCAAAAGGATCCATATAAAAAAAAAGGGTTTCATCGATCATGTTTCTCACTATAGTACTTCACCAAAAAAATTGGTTTTTAAAGTGGATTTTTTTATTGAAACTATCCAAAAATATTAAACTTATTCTTTGAAACATTTCTGTGTGAAATTTTTAATAATTTAAAATATATATTGGATAAAATAATATTTTTAATATGTGGGATATTTTCTGTGAGAGATTTTTAATTATTTAAAATACATATTGGATAAAGTAATATTTTTCATATGTGGGATATTATGATGAGAAATTTGCTAATAATAACCCATATGTGTGGATGCTACCAAACTCCCGCATTGGTGGGTCAATGTCACGTGGTAAACTCTGTTTCAGGATTAGGCATGAGCATTTGGGTATCTATATCCGTTTGGGTACATGTTAATTTTTCGAGTTTTGAATTCGAGACCCATTCGGATATTATACATTTTTGGGTTGGATCGCGTTGGGTTCGTCCGAATCACGGTGGGTTCAATTATGATGTATAGAAATCTGAAAATAACAAATAACCAATGCGTTCGATTATTTATACCCAAAATAATCATATTATCCGATTTTGTTTGGATATTTTGTGTCTAAACTATCCATTTTACCTAGAAATAACCAAAAATTATCATAGGTACGATTTTGTTTAGGTATTTTCTACAAGAAATGTCATATTTTATCTAATAATACCCAAAATACCAAAATAACTAATATATTTGTTTTATAATTTATAATTTATATTATTAAAATAATTATAAGTATAATTATAAATAATATTTTCAGATATATATTCATATTTTCAGATATTTTTGGATATTCATTCGGTTCTCCATACTGAACTTGGAATTGGTTCTTCAAATATAATAATTTGGACCATTCAATTATTTACTTTGGATCCGATCGAGTGAGTTCAGAACCCTGATTTCGATTTCGGATCGGTTTTCCTAGTCTGGATATTTTTCCCCACCCTATGAATCAGGACAATCCGGCAAAGTCAAGAAGTCATTATTAGAGATAGACGACAATCTTGAAGTACTGTTTTTACCTTTTGACTATCTACAAGTTGACCTTATTAATATAAGACCTTTCTTCTTATATACTAATGGGCTTGGGTTCTAAACTAAAGCCCATTTAAAATACAGAAAACTGCCCTGATTTATTAATATCTGAATCTTCTTCCTCCACAACTGAAGAACCCAAAATTTCGCCGTTGAAATGGAGAAAGCGACGGAGAATCCCAATTCGAAGACGCAACCTCCTCCGAGCCATCAAATGGATGCAGACGATGACGATGAGAATGTGAAACAGCTCAAAGAGTGCTCTTCTCTCTACTTGGCTTTACAGGTTCTTCTGTTTTTCATCATCATCTCTTCGATCTTCCTTATATATCCCTTTAATCGTTTTATTTTTTTTTCGATTTTTTTTTTGTAGGATTGTCTCGTTGATAGCAACAGGGACTGGAAGTCTTGCCAGAAACGTGCGTTGCTCTAAATTCTGTAAATCTGAGGGTTTAGGGTTTTATAGCTAGGGTTTAGGGTTTTTAAGCTAATGGAACAAAGTTGAGGTTATTATTACTGACTAGTTAATCTGTGTGAGGAACTGTGTATAAACTGATGGGTTGATTGAATTGTATTATGTGAAACATAAGATAGAGTTTGGACATAGTGTTGATTATCTTTTGTTGTTTGTGATTTTGTTGCAAAGACGTTCAAGCTTTGAAGGCGTGTCATGAGAGGAGAACGAAGAAATGATAGAGATGAGGAAATGTCACCACCTGATTGGGAAAGTATTGGTTAGTAGAGAGCATGTCTTAGTATCATCTTATGTATACAACTTTGCGAAATAAGTTTTCTAACGATTTCTCTTGTTTTGAGGATCGCAAAATGGATAAGCTTTCCTATAATGTAGTTCAACAAAAGCTAATTTCAATTCAAGCAATCTGAATCTTGGGTTTTGTGTTATGGCTGGATGATTTTTTAGTCGTTACAGAGATGTTTGGTTCTGCTGTCTCTTAAAGTTGTTAAATTATTGAGATGAATGGTTCTTTCGCACAAGAAAGCAGTAATTATATTTTCCAAGTTGAATTTGGTTCACTCAAAGAAAGTCAAGGGAATTTCTCTGTTTTTTTCTTTTATTTGAATATGTTTTAATAGAAAGCTAACCTTGTACATCTTTCATCAAAAAGCTACACAAAACACAACCTTTTAAAATGTTGGCTACTTATTTTAGTAAGTTATTGGAGTATGAATCTTGTGATGGGAAAGGAACAGGTTAATGGGCAGTGGAGAAGGGCAGAGAAGGTTCTTAAAACTGAGAAATATGTTCATTTACTTCTGCCTTTTCTATAATATGTTTGAAAAAAATGTTGATTGAATTACTGGTGACTATAAGGATAAAGATTACTAGTAATCAATCGTTACAAAAGTTAAGTTCCAGAGTGGGAAGTGGCTTCCACCGCTCATAGAATATTTTAGTGCTGTTCATACTCTTCATAGTGACAAAACAAAAACGAGTTAGTCTTTGCTACTGGACATAATAAAATTACTTTTAGCCAATTATAGTCACGTGCAAATTGTATTTTAGTATGTTGGAGTGGATAAAGAGTTTACATGCGCGATTATTAACATTAACTATATACTAATTTTCTTTTCAAAAGGTCAATAGCAAAAGGCTTTACTTTTTTGTTTATGTGTGTTTTTATCGTCTAAAGCAAAGCACTTAGACATGCACATTCTTTAGAAACACGCACATTTTCAGGTTTGAATCATATCAGCGTTAACTGATTCTGACTTGAGACATCTTAGCTAACGCCAAATGTAATTGAAACCGACACAACATTGAACATTATGAGGGTATCGTGGACACTAACAAAGCTTTTGAAAATGTTTTACTCTATTTCACATCGTGGCTATTGGGGGATATTTGATCTTTGTTTAATTTCTCTCTAGTTAGGTTAAACCATGCGTACATGGTATATTTTAATATACTTCATCCATGGTGAATGAATCATTTAGCAACCGTATATCAAAAGTCTGATATAAAGATTCAATTTTAAATTATAAAAAACAAACATAAGAAGCAAAAGAGAAAGAAATAAAAGGAACAACACATTTTTACCATCTCCCCCCCCCCACTAAAATTCTACAAACACTAAACCTCAAAAATGCTTAGGCGTGACATTGCCACATGTGCAAAGTGGGGAGCATGATCATATCATTCCTTAACCCAAGTCAGCCAATTATCCACGTCATCACCTTAATTAAACCCTAAACCCTTTTTATTCCCCCCCTCCGCCGAAAACTATCTCCGGCGAGGCGTGAATGACTGAAAAACAACTCTTCCCGACCCCGGAAACTCATCCATAAGCCTGCTCCGACACTTCAAACCAAGCTTCTTCGCCAAGACACGCTCCACACGCTTCGTCACCTCACTATCATAATCCTCTCCGCCGTAAGTGGTGGCGATAGAGACACAATCCGGCCGGAAAACATCAATAGCACGACACAACACCTCCGCGACATCTCCACGACCGTCATCGTATAAAGACAACCCGCACTCGAAGCTCGCGTAGCTAAAACCGTCTTCCGGCGTGACGTGGATCGTCGAGTAACGCTCCCCGTCGACTCCGTTCATCGAGTAACCGCAAGGATCAAACGCGAAATCGCATATAAACGCGTTTTCGTTAATCGTATCGATACCGCTCATCCGCGTCATCTCTCTCCCCGCGGAATCGCTGTTTTTCTTATCGTCGCCTTTGCGTTTAAAGAAGGTCAGGGCGTTGACTCGGTCAAGCTCCGTCATGCAAACCTCAACGACGAGGACATTATTATTACTCTCGTCTGGCTCCACGTCAGCGCTAGCGGTGAACACGTGCCAGGCACGCGGAGTGTTAATATTATTAGACGGCGTCATGACGGAGGCTTTACGGTGACGGAGAGATTTCGGGAGGCTTGCTTCGACGGTGACGACTTCGTCTTGGAAGGCTGTGTAAGGGAAAGGCTGTGCGTTTGGGAATATGAAGCTGCCGCGGGAGTAGCGACACGCGCGTAACGTGAGGTTGAGGTCACGCGCGAGGTTGATGAATGGTTGGATTGATTTGAGGAGTTGTGTTGTGCCGCATGTTTTGATTATGAGTTTGGTTGGGTAGACGAAGAGGCTTGACTCGGAGAGGACGTAAGCGTCGAAGGTGTGGTTCGCTACGGCGGAGACTACCGTGCACTGTACTTGGGTTAAGACTTGGTTTAGTGATTCGAAGTCGATGAGACGGAGGCCCATTGGGTTTTTATTGGTTGTTGCGTGGAAGAATCGAAGTTCGAGTCTTTTCTCGAAGCCCTCGAAGCCAGATACTGCCATTGTAAAGGTCAGAAGTAGATTGTAGGGAATGAGACAGAACAGAGGAAGTTGTAGTGAGGATAGAGCAGGTGTGTGGGGGGTAGAAGTGAGATGTAGTGGTGTGACTAGTGGTGGAGAAGTGGGTATTTATAGGAGATGTTATGGAGGATAGAAGAATGAGGAGAGCATGCGGGGTTAAGAGACCAATAAAATCATGATTGCAGGCATGATGGAACTAGATAGATGATGAGAGTTTGTGTTTTGTTTATTTGTTTTGTATGTATGTGTATATATGTATGTGTGTAAGTGAGAGATCTAACTAGTGTGCGTTTCTGATTCTGTTCTGTTTCGATTTTTTTTTGTGTTCTGTAATGAGAAAGACGTATGGGTTATGACATTCGTTTCTGAGTCGCCTTTATTTTTAAACACTTTTTGAAGTAGTTCTCGTTGATATATATATTGCAAATTTGCAAAATCATGAACATTATTAAAATTTTAAATGTAGAATACAACGACAGTACTATTTATTAGTATGTGATTTGTTTAACTATTACTCATTCTGTTTCATTATAAACGTCATTATAGAGTTGTGCACACAAATTAAAAATAATTAATTTTGAATATTTTTATATAAAAACACAATTACCTATAACACATAACCATATTTTAACTAATAAAAAATATTAGATAATAAAATTAATAAATTTTGTATTAAAATTCAAAAAAAAAATTTATTTTGTAACAAATTTTTTTTTTTACAGTGACACTTAATATGAAACGAAGGAAATATAGAAGAACGAATGGATTAATGTAAATTTTCCGGATCTGCATAATTATTGGTAATATTGCATAGAATCGTTAAGTCTTGGTGTTTCCAAATGTTAGCAATAGAAATTTAAAATCGCTTCAAAAGCTACCAATCATGTTACTAAAAGATTGGCGACATTTAACGGATAATTGAGAAACAAAAAGGATTAAATATGTTTTTAGTGTTTTGTCATGGCATCCAGATTATTCATTAGTGGTTTATTATACGATCAAAATTTTAAAGGTGAAAATAATTTATTCCTATGGTCATTTTTTGTTTCTGTAGTCCAACAAACAGAACTGCCAAACCATGGAACGCATGTTCAGAGAATTATTCAGGTCAAGAGATCAGCTAAATATGGAAGTTTGTTGGTGGGTGTACTAATAACCAAATCGCATGTCCATTAAAGAACTGGGTTCAACCAAAAGGAAATAATCCATTTAATGTAGGACCTTTGGTGAGAAATAAACTGACTAAAGTTTGGCCACAAACTTATCCGAAAAAGAGTCAACGTTCAGTTTGTTCAAAATAGAAGGTCAAACCTCAGACTAAAACTATCAAGTCAAGCAAAGTAAAAAACATCTAATGTGTCCAAAAAGGATAATCATAAGAAATTCGGAAGAGACGATGAAGAGCATGAAAATATGAAGTCCAATCTGGATAATCTACATTAGACAATTATTCTAAACTTAAAAACATTTTTTTCCTGAACTCGATTAGGTTTTTTTTTTCTTTGTATTTCATTCAAAATCACATATAAACAGTGCTATTCAGCTATAGTTTATTATAAAAAGAAACTATAGTCTCGACATGTATTAAGGCTCCGAAATTCTAACAAAAGACAAGAACGTATTGAAAAATGTGAAATATTCTGAATCCTAAACACATAGCAAAAACAATGAACAAATGAATGTAACAACTCTTTTTTTGGTTGGAAAGAGAAATGATAAACAGTGTGCTAATTTGAAGATGATTTTGTTGGGGGCTAACTTTAGAGGGACCTTATTAAAGTTTGAATCATAAGTAAAGTCATTTTGTTGCATCAACATGAATCATTAAACATTTTCTCTTCGATTCATTTGACCACAACTAGCTCGGTCATATCCGAATGTGTATATACATACGTTAAATATAGTTAGAATCGCTAGAAATGGATTAAGATTGCTAAAACATAATAATTAAAGTTGGAACACATGTACTTAGTGACACAAAAAGAAAAAAAATGATTATAGTTATATGAAATGAAAGATAGGAATTTAATCACGACAGACTAGTATTCATCAATAGTCGCTCGTCGACACCACTAGTTGGTGTGTTCAATCTCGATTTCCATAATGATACATTTCATTTTCATAGCTTTTTTTTTTTATTTTGAATAATAATAGATGAAGTCTAGCCTAATTTAATATGCGACATGCAGTTTCATATTTTGAGTTCAAATCCATTTTTAACCGATAATGTAATTATTTCCAAAGAAATTAAGTTCAAATATAATTAGTTTTTTTTGTTGCTCTATCTTACTAGACACACATGTAAACGGGAAATTATCAAACAAAAACAATCAGGCGTGGCAATTTGATAATTATATAGTATTTCCCTTTTAAATTATAATTAGGACTGAATGAAATGAATGATTCGTTACGTGACACCAAAAGTTGCCTTTCAACATCATTTCTAGCTTCCATGCAATTTTGTCTAACTGTGTGTCCGGCATTATCATTAACCATTATTTACATGAATGTCGTCATATAATGTGTCAAAAGTCATTAGATATGTATGTACATACACCACACGAAAGTATAAAACATACCCAGACTCAGTTGAGTTTACTTTGTTTAGAGCCAACTTTGACTCGAACTGAGCAAATCAAAGCAAATATAACGACATCAACATATTTTAATTTAACTTGAAACAAAACAATAACTAACTGCTGACACTCAAGATATATGTTAATTTCTTTAACTTTGGAGGAAGAACGAAGATCAGTTACATTCTATCTTCATGTGAAAACAAATATTATTCTTTTGGTCAAAAACAAATCTTATTAAGATTTTATCAAAATGGATAAAACAAGGAGGAAAGGTTTAGGGGTTGAAGCTCAGTGAGCATTATGACCACAATCCCACAAATAGAGAGCTGCACGCGCACCCACCAATCGCCTCTCTCACTTGTCTCTTCCATCACTCCCACACCTACACAATCTTTTTTATTAATCAAATAACAAAAGAAAGAGAATATTCCAACCATATCTTAGTTGCACAATAAACAAAATTCGAAAGATTATATATAAGTATAAGTAACCGTTTAGTTCAATTAGTTATGTAAAATGGAACTATAGGCATAGTGGATCACTCCAAGCCTGCTAAATCAACTTAATTGCCTCTGTAATCTCTTAGATATGAAAACATAACAAATAGAAACAAAAACATATAAACAAGATAATGAGAGATCAGTGGGAGTACAGTCATATTAACCTATAGTTGTAAAAACTCACCCCGTTAACCAAAATAAAAGAATTATCGCCAGAAGCTCGAGAGTTCAAGCATGGCATATCTTAGATATATCAGCACATGTTGTCGTCTTCTCAACATATTTTGTGGGTCATGGATTTGGAAGGAACAGCCGATATCGATGTGGAAAAGAGCCACAGTGAAGAGGTGAGAATTTTACAACATCATTGGAAATGAGCCCTAAATCGAGGACAAAAGATAAAAGTGGACTCCACATCTAACAAATCCATTCCCTAAGATAGTGACATGTGAACATGGTGGCCCTAGTTAAGTCACTCCTCTGGGTGACAACTATGCTTATGTAGTTATGTTTGGTATGGTTTTTTTTTTTGACATGTCATATGTCAAAGGATTGTATAAAGTTATCAGAAGTAACTTCAGATGGTTTAAGCATGATTGTTAGTAGATTAAGAAAAAGTATAGTATATACGTTCTCATTTTATCTACATGTATGTAAGTGTATATCATAGGTTTAAAGCAAATTTGCTTACAAAAATCGGAGTTACAAAACATTATCAGAATACTTAAAAACCATATATTAAAACTGCTAGATATGATTTACATTAAAACATATATTAAACAATCATTTTTGGACTTATTTTCAGTCTAAATATTTTAGTTAAAAACTTCAATGTTTGCTATCATAAGTAAACTCGAATTAAATATTATTACTAAATGACTAAATGGAACACAGATTAAAAATGGGAGTAGGGGAAGCTGGTACTAATTAGTGTGGATAAATTGAGTGCTACTGTGTCATGCGCACACAAGTTTATATCCAAGAATAATTAACCAAAGAGGCCCACTCACACACCATATGCTATTCATCACTATTTCATGTTGTGCTCCCAAAAATAATCTTTCTCATTATCTTTTGTATATGTTTTTTTATTTGTTTTATTTTCATATCTAAGAGTATAGATATAGTGACCACGTTTTATTTTTCTCTCAGTCGGAAATCATGGATCATTTTTTGGGATAACCTCATCTGCTACAATTGGACCAGGATTGTGAAATTCTCCAAAAAAATATCTCCACTCAGACACGGATACATATATAAGGTTCAACATATAAAATGATAAAGCTCCTATTGACTGAACCTATTTCAGTTAAGACACGTCCAATAATATATAATTTAAGTAGGATAATTTCATCAAATCATAAGATGTTGCTATAAAACTAAGCTACAAAACTATCATAAGGAATTTACATACAAAATATTAGGTCATCAGATTCCAGTTTATTAATAAGTTTCTTGCGTTATTATATTAATCCAAAATCAGGTATAAATCTTAACATTTACTCACAAGAAAACAAAAGAGAAACGTATGTGAAACGTAGACAAGCAGAAAAAAACGCAGACATTGCTGCACATAACAATGTCTCGAGCCCAAAAACCAAATCAAGAATAATTTCCGATACTCCAAAGTATTATACATCAAAAATCATTATATAATTTAAGCTTGAGCTGGTCTAAAACCAAATCACTAATGTAATCTATACCATTATTTGAGAAGTAAATTTGCTTAGTTGTCAACTTCTTCATGATTTTAGGTTATTTTGCTTATTTTCATGTTTTAATAATTTATTATAAAATAAAAAGAATTTATGTTAATAATATTATCTTTTTATAAAATATATTAATTCTTTTGTATTAGATTGTTATCTTAAAAATATATTTTTTTTAATTATACAATTGTAACTTTCTGTGATTTAGGTAATCTATACTATGATTTGTGAATGATTTTTTTTGCAAGAAATCTCTCACGTTGAAAGTT